ATAATTAAAAATTAAAAATCTCAGTGGAGATCTCTGCTGTGACACTCACAGAGCACTCGGGGTGGGGAATGCTGAGCCCCTGGGCCATCGTGTCTGTGCCAGCCCAGCTCTGGGCACTGGGGATCATGGTTGCTGCAGGGAGCACAAGCCATGGCTGTGTCCCCTCTGACACCAAGAAGTTTAAGTCTAACAGCAAAAGTGTGCTAGACTAATAACAATTTTGAGTCAAAATTGTGAACATATTGGAAGTTTATTTGCCGCAGACAGGTTCAAAGAAACAACAATTATCAGGAATTTTTATACAGTATAATGTCCAAGATATTTTACCGATACTATCCAAAGTGCTAACAATATATTATATTATGATATTGGTGTTTTAATTCCTATCAGAATATGCTGTTTATCTTAGTTTAAGGGATAACCCATATTTTTTCCAGGTAAAACAATGTTTTATTGGCAGTGCTTCAATGCTGGTGAAGGACGTCCATGCAGTGTCTCGCTGAACTGTCAATGGGAAAGACGGAGGGGCTGGGGGAAAGAAAGGTGATTTAAAGTTTAATTTTACTTCTCATTACCATCTTCTAAATCTGTTAATAATAATTTACAGGATACCAGAAAATTGGAACCTGTTTTTTTGCGTAGAGCGTATTTTCTCCCAGTCCTCATCTCAACTCCCTTTGTTGAGCACTTCGTTAATTTTTGTTTCCCTCTCCTCTGCCCAGCTGAGAGCAGGACAAGGTGAGTAAACGGCTTTCAGGGGTGCCTGGCGTTTGGCCAGTGCCAAACCATGACAGGCTTGCTGCAGGTTATCAGCATCAGAACCCACATTTCTTACTGACAGTACCCTTGATGATGCAATAAAGGCTATTGGAGACCAGATGTTGGGGTGCTGGGGTGCCCCATCCAGCCCTTCACCAGAGGTCATCCTCCTCCACCTCAGCCTTGGGAATACTTGTGGTTGTTTTTTCCTCATCTCACCCTTTGCAAGCAGGGACAACTTCCACTAGACCGGGCTGCTTCAAACCCCATCCAGCCTGGCTGGGAACACCTCCAGGGATGGGGAGGCCAGAGCATCTCTGGGAACCTGTGCCAGGGTCTCTCCACTCGCGCAGGGAGGAATTTCTTCCCAATATTCCCCCTAAACCTGGTCTCTGGCAGTGGGAAGCCATTCCGCCTTGTCCTGTCACTTCAGGACTTTGTCCAACATGCCTCTCCAGTTCTTGGAGCCTCTTTAGGCCCTGGAAGGGGCTCTAAGGTCTCCCTGAAGCCTTCCCTTCTCCAGGCTGAACAGCCCCAGCTCAGAGACCTCAGAGAAGCCACAGGGAGGGTGTTGATGCCCCGTGGAGACAACGGTGA